AATGTCTGTTTCTTATTCTTATATCCATCCATCATGTGCTCAGTCGTGTCTGACTCTTTGCGACCCCATGGACCATAGCCCACCAGGCTCCTCTGTCCATGGGATTCTCCCGGCAAGAATACTGGATTGGGTTGCCATTTCCTCCTCCAGGGGATCTTCCTGATCCAGGGATCGGGCCCATGTCTCCTGCATTGGCAGGAGGATTCTTTACCACTGAACCATTTGGATAAAGAGATGGAACCCTTGGAAGCCACAGTTCAAAAGCAAATCAAGGGGTTTCCCTGGTGGTCCAGTGGTTAAGAATCTGCCTCACAATACAAGGGACACGGGTTCAATCACTGGTCCGGGAAGATCCCACATGCCAAGAAGCAAGTAAGCCCATGCACCACAGCTCAGGGGCCTGAGCTCTAGAGCCCTTGCACTGCAAGGGCTTCTGTCTCTACTGAAGCCACAAGAGAAGCCACCACAATGAGAAGCCTGGAGCGTCGCAACTAGAGAGTAGGTCCCACTCGCCACAACTAGAGGAAGCCTGCACACAGCAACAGAGACCCGGCACAGCCAAAATAAATAAATAGATCTTTTTTTTTTAAAGCAGATCAAATGGTTTTCTATCATGGGAGTGGCTGCATGTAACCTGATTTTCATAATGATTTCCCAAATGTAAAATGCATCCTGAGCTGTGGCACGGGATGCGCATGTGGCATGCTGAGAAGTGGAGCAAAGCTATGAACAAAGCTAGTGGAGGTGATGGAATTCCAGTTGAACTCTTTCAAATCCTAAAAGATGATGCTGTGAAAGTGCTGTACTCAATAGGTCAGCAAATTTGGAAAACTCAGCAGTGGCCACAGGACTGGAAAAGGTCAGTTTTCATTCCAATTCCAAAGAAAGGCAATGCCAAAGAATGCTCAAACTCCCACACAATTGTACTCATCTCACATGCTAGCAAAGTAATGCTCAAAATCCTCCAAGCCAGGCTTCAACAGTATGTGAACCATGAACTTCCAGATGTTCAAGCTGGATTTAGAAAAGGCAGAGGAACCAGAGATAAATTGCCAACATCTGCTGGATCATAGAAAATGCAAGAGAGTTCCAGAAAAACATCTAATTCTGCTTTATTGACTACACCAAAGCCTTCGACTGTGTGGATCACAACAAACTGGAAAATTCTTAGAGCTGGGAATACCAGACCACCTGATCTGTCTCCTGAGAAATCTGTATGCAGGTCAAGAAGCAACAGTTAGAACTGGACATGGAACAACAGACTGGTTCCAAATTGAGAAAGGAGTACATCAAGGCTGTATATTGTCACCCTGCTTATTTAACTTATATGCAGAGTACATCATGAGAAACGCTGGGCTGAATGAAGCACAGGCTGGAATCAAGATTGCTGGGAGAAATATCAATAACCTCAGATATGCAGATGACACCACCCTTATGGCAGAAACTGAAGAAGAACCAAAGAGCCTCCTGATGAAAGTGAAAGAGGAGAGTGAAAAAGTTGGCTTAAAACTCAACATTCAGAAAACTAAGATCATGCCATCCAATCCCATCACTTCATGGCAAATAGATGGGGAAACAATGGAAACAGTGATAGCTGTATTTCTTTTGGCTCCAAAATCACTGCAGATGGTGATTGCAGCCATGAAATTAAAAGACATTTGCTCCTTGGGAGAAAAAATATGACCAACCTAGACAGCATATTAAAAAGCAGAGACATTACTTTGCCAACAAATGTCCATCTAGTCAAGACTATGGTTTTTCCAGTAGTCATGTACGGATGTGACAGTTGGACTATAAAGAAAGCTGAGCACTGAAGAATTGATGCTTTTGAACTGTGGTGTTGGAGAAGACTCTTGAGAGTCTCTTGGACTGCAAGGAGATCCAACCAGTCCATCCTAAAGGAAATCAATCCTGAATATTCATTGGAAGGACTGATGCTAAAGCTGAAGCTCTAAAACTTTGGCTACCTGATGCAAAGAACCAACTCCTTGGAAAAGACCCTGAGGCTGGGAAAGATTGAAGGTGGGAGGAGAAGGGGACAACAGAGGATGAGATGGTTGTATGGCATCACCAACTCAATGGACACGAGTTTGAGTAAACTCCAGGAGTTGGTGATAGATAGGGAAGCCTGGCGTGCTCCAGTCCATGGGGTCACAGAGTCGGACACGACTGAGTGACTCAACTGAACTGAACTGAAGAAGTGGAAGGTCGAGTAGGTGGGGACAGGAACTAAGACCATTTCGCAAGCTCTCCTCCTGGGTTCTGTGGCTATGTCGAGGGCGGTGGGAGGGTGGGCTGACTGTGGGCGTCCATAGACAGTGTGCAGCATCTCGTGTGTGTGTTTCCTTAGAGCAGACATCTGCACCTCGCACCAGATTCTCAAAGGGGCCAGAAACCCCTGCCCCAGACTGCAGTCTCCCTCAGCATTCAGAGCAGTCTAGCCTTGACTGTGCCATGATGCCATCAGGATTTCAATAACCACATTCACCACCTTTCTGTGTTTTCCCCAGCGTGGTTAGTGACATCCCAAATCAGCCCATGCAGGTAAAAAGCCTCAGAGCCCCCTGACCCTTCCCTGCCCCTAAACCAATCATCCAAGGATTCCCCACGGGTTGTGGTTTGCAGCCTTGAAAGGTTATTCTTATCTGTCCCTTCCCTCCGCCACTACCACGGGCAACTCTGGCCTCGCTCCTTACAGTAGCTTCTGAATTGGTCTCTGGCTTGGGTTTGGCTTCAACCCATCCTCAGGGTTTCTAGTGCGGGATCACTGATCTCCTTACCTCATCCGCTCACTCAGTCACACCGGGCAGCCTGCATCCCTGGCTCACCTCCCCTCTCCCGGGTACCTGGGTCTTCCCTCGAGTTCTCGCCATCCTGCCTGCCTCTAGTGAGCGGATGAGGACATCCACATCCCTTCTCTTCTTCCTGAGACAGGCCTGGGACCCGGACGCTTTGCCGCAATGCCTGCACCTGGACACACTTCTCCTTCAGCAACAAAATACCAAGAAACAATACAGGATTAAAAATAACTGCATGCATGGGCAGTTAGGGCAAGTTCTGGACAAAAGACACAGAGAGACCAAAAAGACCCCATTGCCACTTTTGAAGAACCAGGAGCAAAAGCAAGGCACTGCACTTGTCCCCTGTACTCAACATAACCTCAGTTCAGTTCAGTTCAGTTAAGTCGCTGTTGTGTTCGACTCTGTGACCCCATGGACTGCAGCATGCCAGGCTTCCCTGTCCATCACCAACTCCCGAAGTTTGCTCAAACTCATGTCCATCAAGTCGGTGATGCCATCCAACCATCTCATCCTCTGTCATCCCCTTCTCCTCCTGCCTTCAATCTTTCCCAGCATCGGGTCTTTTCCCGTAAGTTCTTCACATCAGGTGGTCACAGTATTGGAGTTTCAGCTTCAGCATCAGTCCTTCCAATGAATATTCAGGACTGATTTCCTTTAGGATGGACTGGCCGGATCTCCTTGCAGATCAACTAAGGGTGACAAACCACCTAAGCCACCCCTCCCACCCGAACCTGGACACCCCCCTACTCACCCCATATAAAGAACCAGCTTGCCCACCCCCTAGGAAGTGAGGAAGGGGGCCTGTGGTTCATTCTCGCTCCCCCTGGCTGCATCAGGGCCCCCAGTACAGCCCTGCCTGGGAACCTTGTCTGGCCTCTGATCAGTTTCTGGTGATTACGCAGGGCAAGCCCCCTGGTCCATAACACTCCGGCTGCCCTCCCCGGCTGGGTTCCTAACTGCAGGGCGTGCGTGTCCCCCTAGATCACCAGCTCTGGGAGGGCGAGGCTCTGCCCCTGTGTCAGCACAATCTCCGTGGGAGGGCAGGGCCTGGCACCAATTGGCAGGCTAAAAGAAACCTCCACTCCCGGAACCGCAGGAGTTAGAGCGCGCTGTGGAGCACTGGGCCAGCCCTCAGGGAGACGAAAAACAATGTTGCCCACACCAGGACCTGGCCGGCCCCTGCTCCTCCCCAGTAGGGCCTCCTCTGATAGTCTCTATCTGCTGGGGAAGGCCCCCGCCTGCTGGCCTGGGCCCAGCAGGAAACAGGCTTAACCCTTCCCACCCCTTCCAGCCTGGGGCGCCTTCCACCTATGAGCTTCTCCATAAACCTGTTCACGGCTCTCCTGAGTCACCGAGGCCTGGGACCTGGGCCCCGGGCTCACTCCTTCCCCACGCGCCTGTCACACCTCACCCACAGTCAACTCTGCAGAACCCAAGTCCTGCACATCACCTCCACCATAAACCTCTTCCTTGTCTTATTCTCTCCTCCTGGGAGCCCCTACACTGTCCCCTCTGGTTCTCCTGCCCCGCCCTCCTCCTGAACACCCACCCCTGATTCCACACTAGGGCTCATTCCTCTGTCGGAGTCACCGGAGTTCCCCTGGGACAGGGGAGGTGTGCAGGAGGGTACTCATGTAACCGCACTGCCCATCATGCCAAGCTTCTAGAGGGTGGGCACAGGTCACAAGGGCTCCCCCTGGCCCCTGGCCTGGTTGTGGGAAAAGCTCAGCAAATGAAACGACCCATTTGTGTTCTTATATGATGTGCCACGGCTGTGCAAAGGTGGTGGCCCTGGCTGCTTCGCTGCCCGCACCCCCCCCACCCCCAACCCCGGCGCCCAGGTAAGGACACCAGAGTCCAGGGCTCAAACGTGCAGAACAAAAGGGGGCAGAGGGCCCGCTGTCTGTCCCATTGGCGGCATTTAGGAGCGGAACCACCTCTGCGCTTGGAGAGTGAGTGTGACGCGGCGCGTGGGAACTGCCGACGGCTCTCGCGGGCTGGACGTGGTGACCCAGAGCCAGACCTCGGGCGGCGGATGCCGCTGGGGCCAGGGGCGGGCGGGGGGCGGGGGCCGGCGCCGGGGCCGCGCCCTCCCGGCCACTCCCCGGGGCGAGCGGGTGGCGGCGGCGGCGGCGGCGACCAGGGCGGCTCCCAGACGCGCTGCTCCCGGCCCGGCCACCAGGGTCCCCGCGCGCCCCCATGTCCTCCGCGCCGCTGCGCTCGCCCGCCCTGCGGCCCCACAGAATGAAGAAGGACGAGTCGTTCCTGGGCAAGCTGGGCGGCACGCTGGCGAGGAAGAAGAAGGCCAAGGAGGGTGAGTGCGCCCGCCGCCGGCCTCCAGCCGCGCCCGCGCCGCGCTCCGCCCCGCGGGACCCAGGCGGGCGGCCGCCCCGCCCCGCCCCGCGCGCGCGCAGCGCCGAGCCCTGCCTGGACCCAGTGGAGCGCAGCGGGCACCACGCGGCCCGAGTCCCCGCCGGACCCGATTGAGCGGCTGCGGGCACCACGCTGCCTCTCCTCTCCGGGCCCCGCGCGCACGGTTCCCTAAGCCCGCCCGGCCCGCGCAGCGCGCCGCCGTGACCTTCAGGACAGCCCTTGACCCCCTTTAAACGCCGCCGGGCCGGGAACCAGCCGCCAGCCTGGCGGCGCCCCCTCTCCCGGCGGCTCATGGAGCCCCCTTTGGGCTCCTGGCGTCATCGAAACGCGCATCGCTGGCTCCTGCTGAGGACAGAACGCTGAGCAGCCGTGGGGACGAGCCCCCCCGGCCCGCTGGAGACAGCCCTGCGCCCACCGCGGCCCAGGTCACCAGCCGTTTCTTTAGCTTCCTCTCTCGCCCGCGGGCTCGCGCGTTCAGCCCTGCCTGGAGGCCGCTCGATGAGCATTTATTGGGCACCACTGCGGGGCGACCCTACTGCTGGGGGCCCGCTGGTTTTCGGGGTGCGGTGCACTGCTCGGATTGCGCCCCCAGCGTGGGCGAGAAGGGAGGAGGAAAGGGGTGCCCGAGGCCGCGAGGCCCGCCCGCAGGGAGTGCAGAGGCCCCTCAGTGTTTGCCTCCACGTGTCCCCGAAAATTATCCTAAAAAACTTCCTGCCACCTCTTACAAGTTTTTTTTTTAACGGTTGTGGGGGATGTGACTTCAGGCCTCTTGTTGGTGTTCTTTAAACACGGCTGTTCCCAGGGCCTCTCCCAGGACTGCATTCCTGATTTTTCCCTTTGTTCTGGCCAGGGGAGTCCTGCCCCTGGCCCAGATTCCCTGTGGGTGAGGGTGGGTTACGCTGGGGTGGCTGTGAGCCAGGCTGCTGGGAGCTGCCTGTAGTCTGGACCTTGGGAGAGAATCCCCAGTCAGGGGTGTGCAGTGAGTGCCTAAAGCACCCGGATCCTGACTGTGCTTCAGAAAGTCTTCTCGTGCCTGCCAGGCGAGTGTACCCCCCAGGGATGTATGTACCCCAAGGACAGGCTTGCAGGCCCACGTGGCCCCATGTTAATTTCTCTCTTTGACGTGTGTATTCCTGGGGATGTCTGTGACCTTTTACCTCGAGGGCTGAGCAGATGTACAGACAGCAACCCACCTTCCGCCCAGGGGTGTGTGTGTGTCCGTGTGTGTGTGTGTCCGTGTATGTGTCCATGTGTGTCCATGCATTTCCCACGAGGGACAGTTGTACCACATTAGATGGTTCCCCCTGAGGGCAGGGCCCTTCACCTTTACTTTATCAATGAAAAGAGTGTTGCCTGCCATATCAGTAAGGGAAAGGATGTGGCATTGCGCCCGGAGGAGGAGATTCAGGATGGAGACAAATCCTGCTGAGCAGCCCCTCCCCCCGTGATTCACCCCAGGAAGCACAGGGACGCTGGCTCCAGGAGCTGAGGGGCGAATCCCAGGGGCGATCGCAGCGATCCTAGACCTGGGCCGCTTCCTGTGCACTGCTGTCGTTAGTCGCTCAGTCGTGTCTGACTCTCTGCGATCCCATGGACAGCAGCACGCCAGGCTTCCCTGTCCATCGTCAACTCCCGCAGTTTGCTCAAACTCATGTCCATCGAGTCGGTGATGCCATCCAACTATCTCATCCTCTGTTGTCCCCTTCTCTTCCCGCCTTCAATCTTTCCCAGCATCAGGGTCTTTTCCAATGAGTCCGCCAAAGCATTGGCGCTTCACCTTTAGCATCAGTCCTTCCAACGAATATTCAGGATTGATTTCCTTTAGGATTGACTGGTTTGATCTCCTTGCTGTCCAAGGAACTCTCAAGAGTCTTCTCCAGCACCACAGTTCATAAGCATTAATTCTTCGGTGCTCAACCTTCTTCATGGCCCAGCTCTCACATCCGTACACAGAAAAGTACTAAATGTTTTACCTTGAAATATCTGGTTTTCTTTAATTAACAGTGATCTTTTGATGTTCAGACTCCCCAGTCTTTGTTGCAAAAACTGCTGCATATCCTGGCTCCTCCCTTGCATCTTCTGGAGCCCTCTCTCAGAGCTAGCTGTGTCCCAGGCTTATGTCCTCAGTTTTGTCCACCGAGTAAAACATAACTCTCAACTTTGAGGCTGTGCTTTTTTTTCAGTTGACACGTTGTACCAAGCAGATGAGTCACTCCTTTCCTAAGCCTGACATTTAGGATCCAGACTGTCTTTCGTTACTTGTATCAAGTCACACCTCCTAAAAGAGATGATAAATGGCCTTCCCCCACCCTAGATCATTCCTGCTACGTCTCTGATCTGCAGATCAGAAGGGCAGTGGGAATGATCTGTCACGCTCAACAAAATCATTTCAGGGATTATGCCTCCTTATGCCTTGCAGCAATTATAAACACAAATGTCATACACTCTCCAATTCATTCATTGCCTGCCGTGGGACCCTAGGAAGAAAAGATGGACAAGTCTCTTCTTTTGTGGACCAGGGACTCAGTCATAATAAATAAAACAGATCTATAATAATATCTACTAGGAAGAAGGTGTAAAAGTGCAATCAGACAGGTGCCTGGGGAAGGCCTCAGAGCAGGTGATGTTTGGGTTGAGAGCCAAAGAAACCAGGAAAGCTATCTCTCACAGAATAGCGAGTCAGTGGAATGTTGTGGACAGTGACAGCTTTTGATAGGTAACATTTACTCCCTTGGAATATGAAGAGCAAATGCCTGAACTCATGGACTAGCCCCAAGTTCCAAAGCAAAGTGTTTGTCTTTGCCTTTGTGAACTAGCATGCGTCTAGAAAATCAAGGGCAAATCAGGTTTAATTTGAATATACCAAGAGTAGTCGGCATCATCCAGTGATGAACAAAATAGTCATGAAACAGCAGAAGGAAAGAGATATTTCTGTAGTATAGCTGTTTTTGTTTTTTTTTCCTGTTTGTTTTGTTTTGGCCACACCACATGGTTTCTGGGATCTTAGTTCCCTGACCAGGGATTGAACCCAGGCCTTTGACAGTGAAAACACTGAGTCCTAACCATTGGACCGCCAGGGAACTCCAGCTGCTGTTGCTTTGCTGTGTGAGTTAGCTGGGTCCCCTGCCTCATTTCTCAAGATTGGGGTGCCTGGCAACCCCCCCTCCCCCCATGCAAACAGAAGGTCACAAACGCTAATCAAGCTTAGATGTAGGAATTCCAAGAGGACTGACCTTGGAAGGGCGCAGTGGCTTCTGTCTGTCTTGTGGGAAGAGCGGAAGGAGTGGGGAGTGGGAGGGAGGCCGAGGTGCGAAGGCTGGAGAATGAGGTCCTGAATGATTGATGGAGAGTTGCTGGTCTCCCTCTAGGCCTGTTGCCTTGGCAACCTGCCTTGGCAACCTGCCCTCCCTGCCACTCATGTGATTCACTTGTAGCAGGTCCTGGCCGCTCCCAGGCTCCCCATGGGAAGGTGCTCATTTGCCTGCCGGGGACTGGCGGGAAGACAGTGATTCGAGGTGTGCTGGGCGCTGCCAGATGCGCGGTGGGTTTCATTTCCTTTTTGTTAGAAAGTCCACAGGAGCGTGGGTGGAGGTGAGGGGGAGGGTGCTGGGACAAGGACCGGGCTGCTGGGAAGTTAGAGATTCCGTGGGGCATTTGACACTGCAGAGCTTGGGGCTGTGACAAGCACTGAAGCACGTATTGGGGGTGAACATCTTGTCACTTTGCCAGGGGAGGTCATGTTCAGAAATGTGTTCTGAGGTTTGCAGGAAGTGCCCTGGGTTAATTCATAGCATGATTAAGGCTGTGATAGTCTATGGGAGGGAAGCAAGTTGCATCATGTGGTGGCCCGGCTTAGAAAACGGAACTGTGATGAACAGTGGGGCGTTGGGAAAAGTGGAAAGGAACACTTAAAAAACCCCAGAACTCCCCATAGAAAGCCCAGGGACTGTGAAGGGCCACTCGCTAAAGTGGTTCGGTTCAACGAGCTGAATGGAGCAGGCACAGAGGAAGACTCCCTGTGAGGGTCCCCTGGTGACCACGGGTGACACCCAGAAGGCCCGCAGGCCAGGACGGGGTGAGGGGGCACCCCTGGACAGATGCCCTTGCAGCTGTGTAAAGTCCTTAGAGGCAGGGGTCCAGCTCTGGGGCGGGGAGGCCCTGGATGGAAGGTGGGGATGGGCTCCCCTCCACCCATTTGCCTGAGAGGTTCCCACCTGCATTGACCTCCGCCCTCTGCCCAGACCCCAGGACCAGCGCCAGACTATGAGAGCCGAACCCACCACGGCTGAGCCGGAGGCTCTGTCCCTCCTGCTTTTCCGGGGAAAGCAAGTGTTTAGGAAGTTGCTGTTCCCTGACTGCTTTTCTTTTTGTAATTATATTTTTTAGAGCAGTTTTAGGTTCTCATTGTCTAATGACATGATGTGGCGCTTCTCTTTCTAGGCGCGTGTGTCATCTCACGCTCAGATCTTTGGCCCATTTTTTTTTTAATGTAGCCTTTATTTTATTTTTTTTTGGCCATGCCTTGTGGCCTGTGGGATCTTAGTTCCCTGACCAGGGATTGAACCCATGCCCCTGCCTTAGCAACTCAGAGTCTTAACCACTGGACCTGCCTGGGAAGTCCCGTATTCTTTAAATCAAGTGGTTTGATTTCTTGTAGTTGAGTTTTAGGACTTCTTGGTGTATTTTAGATACACATCCTTTATCAGATGCGTCTTTGGTAAACACTTTCTCTGGCCCTGCGACTTGTTTTCTGACTTTCTTCATCCTGGTCGTCTTCTGAGCCCTTGATGCACACATAGAGATAAGTGAGCAGGATATTGACTGAAACCTCAGGAACTAGATCTAAAGAGACACCAGGTGGCTGCGACTTTGCCCTGAGGGTTGAAAGTATTGAGTTGCTTTTCTGGGTTTTAAATAACTTCCAGGAGAGACCGTCGGTCG